CCCGCTCCCCCCCAGGCACGCCGGAGGCCCGCCCTGCTCCCAGGTTGAAGTCCGGGGGTGCGGCGGTTGTGGCGGGGTGAGACCCGTTCAAGGCGAAAGGTTATCTGGAGAGCAATCAAGAATCTATTTATGAAACCATTGTAAGTGGTCAAATAATTCCTTCCAGCCGAAAAGCCAAAGATGGGGGAGCATTCGGATCCCCGGGTGGGCCCGGCTTCAGAACTGTGCGTTGCGGGCGCTGTCAACCCGGCCAGCTGAACGGCAGCTCTTCGGGTAGAGACGCCACAGGAAGGTGAGTTAAGAAAGACGCCGTTCTTCCTATTTCAACTAAAGTGACATCACGACAGAACGTGGGATGATCTCCCTCTTGAGGGAAGGCGTATCTCCTAGTAGAGCCGATTATTATTTACGTATACAAATACGAACTTGTTGAAAGGAAGTATAGCAAATCTACACATCAGAGATGTTTGGTTTTGGAGTGCAGCCATATACCCCCGTGGGACCAACTCGGCACCCCGGGAATGGCGAAGGATGGTGTTGCAGTTCGTAACAGCCCTACCCACTCATTCCCAAGGCTCCTCTGTATCCCAGCCTGTAGGATGGGCACAGCCAGGCTTAGGTCCCACAGAGGAGGGAGGTGGAGCTTGGAGAACCGCGTGACTTGCTCAAGGTCACCACATGAAGGCTGAGATGAGCCCACCCTGCTTCCCGCGGCAGGGCAGCCACAGTGTGATGAAAAAGAGCCCCGTGGGCAGCCCCCTCGGGTCCCTCCCACTTTGAGAGCTTTTCTGTCCTCTCAATAAATCCTGCTTTTAAAAAACAAACAAAAAAAGCCGGGCTCGATGGCTCAGCCTGTAATCCCCCGCCTTTGGGAGGCTGAGATGAGTGGATTGCCTGAGCCCGCGGGTTCGAGACCCGCCTGGGCAGCGAGACCTCATCTCTACAATAAATCAAAAAATCAGCCAGGCGTGGTGGCGTATGCCTATAATTCTGGCTACTCGGAAGGCTGAGGCAGAAGGATCGCCGGAGCCCAGCAGGTCGAGGCTGCGGTGGCCGGAAGCGGCCACTGCACTCCAGTCTTGGCGACAGAGTGAGACTCCAACTCAAAAAAAAAAAGACTGTGATGCTATCCCGACTCTGCCACTTATTAGCCATCAGCTGTGGACAGGTTACTTACAACTTCTCCAGGCTTCAGCTTCCTCACTTTAAAATCAAGAGGCGAATAGTGCATACTTTATAAGGTTGTGGTTAATACTTGCAAAGTGGTGAGAACTGTGCCTGGCACTGTTCTAGTAATAATAAACAGCACAGGTTAAATAGCATGTGTGTTTCCCTGGGTCTCCACTAGATGAGATGCTTGAGAACAGCATCCAACCCCCATTAAAGGAAATGTAAAACTTAGTTAAAATGCTTGCTATGGATATGACTCTCACGTCTACATCAACAATTAACTTCTCCCCTATTGAAAGGAGCGATTCTTCTCCTTGTGACAATTCTTGCCAGCTAAATTGTCCTAAAAAAATTTTTTTTGTTAGTTGTTGAAGATACCCTTTCTATAGGTGTGCCTCCTGACAGGCACTATATGACTCTTAACAACTTTCCATATGCTTATCAAGCTATAATTTCCTGCTGGCTTGCCTTATAGTTTCAGGAAGCTTGGGCCTGCAAGGAAAAAGCAGTGGTTTCCAACACCTGAGCTTTAGACAGACAGATCCTAAGTTCTCATCGAATGTTTTACCTCACTTGGAAAACTTGCAGCACACCCTTCTGAAACACAATTTTTATGGCAGTTCAAATAACCCTCCTCTGATTTAAGTGCAATAAACATTAGTTGCTGTTATTACTAGTTTCCTGGTTTAAATATTGTCTTTCTCAAAACAAGTCATACGTGAGTCTGTGACCTTTGTTACCCTGTTTCAGTCATACCTCTCTTTTACCATGGAAAATCTCTAATATTTTATTCTGTCTTCTAGACCTCCAGCTACTCAAATTGCTGTAATTGTGCCTTCCACAATTTTTTTGACAGATTTAATTTGCATTTTAAAATAATTTATGCAGATTAGCTAGAGTTCTAGGCAAAGGAAGGTGGAAAGGGTCAGATCAGGGCCTACATTTATCTACAGGTTGATACCTTTATTTTGCAGAAGAGTCCAAATCCTTTCAATAACAGAATGCTTGAAAAGGCAGAAAAAGGAGGGGAAATGGAATAAATTAAGTAGACAAAAAGAAAAAAGAAATACAGAATGTTTCAGAGAAGTACATCGCCACATAAGCAGGAACAAAATGGAGATCTTTATTTCACTGCTCAAATCAAAACATTCCATGAAAGACTGCCTTAAATAATTTAACAGGCTTCACTGATTTATGGGGAGCAGGAGAAGCCCCATTACTCTGTGCCACAAAGACTGTTTGATATAACTAATGACATGCAAATACAATTTGCAAAAGCAGAGCATTATCCAAATATGATATTTGAAAAGGCTGACTGAGCAAATAGATTTCACATCTTTAAAACAGAATATAAATGCTATCATAATTACACTGTGTTGAACCTGGGAAATCTTGGCAATATCTACAAACCTTCTCAATTTACAGATAAGAATAAAGGTTCAGAGAAGTTAAGCCACTCATCCAAGTTCACTGAGCAAAGAGATTCTGCATTTGCTACTTTGGAATAAGCTGTCTGCTTTTAAATGGTTTTAAAAAATGGATATCACAAATTTTTGTTTGTATCGAACATTGATATAGAATAGTTTCTCCTTAATTGTATTCATTACTATTTAATCAGTTATTTTTCTGGTGTAATGCTATGACTTTTCTCTGAATATTCACCTGTTGCGCTGAAAGGCTCAGTCAGATTTAGAAACCACAAATTCAGAAAAATAGCTCAAAGGTGCAACTCACAAACCACGTTTTTTAGAAAGTAAATATTCGTGCCAAATCAAAATAGCCAACCACCGGTGCCAAACACGTTTATATTTCACTACGACGACAACCACAAATTAAAAGTATTTGTCAAAATGTCTCTTTTCTCTCTTTGTTAAGACACTTTTACTTCCAAGATGCATTTGTTTCCAAATATTTAGAACTCACGGTATAACTGCAATTGGTTACATTCATAACGGTCACAATGGTTATTCTGTGTTCAAGACTCTCCAGAAGCTTGATTGACTAAAATGAGGTAGATACATTTTTAAGAGTTTGTTGGTTGGGACTAATTTCCTTTAGATCTTGATCATTTTTTAAAATAGAATTCCAAAATATTTAGCAAAAAATTGAAAATGAGCACTTTGCCCAAAAGTGGAAAAATATAACTTCAAAAGGTTTTATGAAAGTCGCTTTACCTCATTTCAATTTAAAAACAGAATAAAAGCATCAAATTACAAAACCACCGCCTATCTTAAAGCTGACAAACCACGTAACATCTCCCAACATCTAAAGAGACCCCTGGTCTAGTTCTGCCTCGGGCCTGTGTAGATGCAGAGGCATCAGGTGAACGCATTCAGGGGCCAGACCAGCTGTTGCCCCTTAACCTTTGACCCTAAATTCCAAGTCTCCCCCAGTGGTTAGGCCTGAATACTGGAATTCTGTCTAGGAGGCTCTCTCTGAGATCGCGAATCCCACCTCTGGAGACAGGCCAAGCTTCAGACAGAAGCTGGAGGTGCAGGCCCGACTGGGCAAGACAGGCTGCAGCGGACAAAGTTGGGAACAGAATGGGGCTGCAGGTATTGGGCCCCCCGACTTGGGCAGGCCCGGGTAGATCAACCAGAGCCCAGCCCCAGGGAGCATCAGGTTGTGGGGGGCAGACTGGGCACTAGACCAGCTAAAGGCCCCGGGGCAGGTCGACGAGAGATTTCCGAGAAAGCTGGCAGACCACCCCGGATCTTTGTCTTCTTACGGGGAACCAGAGGCGAGGCGCTCAAGAACTTGCTGAAGGAGCCCGACTTCCTCAAGCCCCGAGCCAGGTCCTGGAGCATCAGGTCGTCGGCCAGGACGCCCAGAAACGCGCTGGTGGTGGAACTGAGGATGGTGGCGGCCACCTGCACCGGGCGCCGGGCCACCAGACCGCCGCTTGCGCCGCCAGTGGCGTCCGGCTCCGTGGGGCCCCGCAGGCCCGGGTCGCCCAGCAGGCGGCGCAGCGCGTACGAGGAGCCCGGCGGCAGGTACTGGTAGGCGCGACG